AAGCAGAAGGCTGGGGAGGAAGCAAGTTCCTCTTCTGTGGAGATGCTGACTTGGGAGGGATGTGGAGGAAACTGAGTTCCAGGTGTGGGAGCCTGAGAATCTGCGATTCTAGTTGACTGCTCATGGTTTCAACTCTCCCCCTCGACAGAGTGACTTCTGCCCTGGCCTCTCAGTTTCAATCCCACATTTCCTTTTTTTTTTTTTCCCCCTTAAATGAGACAAGGTCTTGCTCTGTCACCTGTGCCAGAATGCAGTGGCACAATCATGGCTCACTGCAGCCTTGATCTCCCTGATGGCTTCAGCTCAAGCGATCATTCCAAGTCAGCCTCTCGGGAAGCTGGGACTACAGACTCACACCACTACGCCCAGAGAATTTTCGTACTTTTTTTTTTTTTTTGGAGACAGTTTCGCTCTTGTTGTCCAGGCTGGAGTGCAATCGTGTGATCTAGGCTCACTGCAACCTCCAAGTCCTGGGTTTAAGTGATTCTCCTGCCTCAGCCTCCTAGGTAGCTGAGATTACAGGCACCTGCTACCACACCCAGCTGATTTCTCGTATTTTTAGTAGAGATGGGGTTTCACTATATTAGCCAGGCTGGTCTTGAACTCCTGACCTCAGGCGATCCATCCATCTCAGCCTCCCCAAGTGTTGGGATTACAGGCATGAGCCACCATGCCTGGCTGAATTTTTTTACTTTTTGTAGAGGTAGGGTTTTGCCATGTTACCTAGGTTGGTCCTGAAATCCTGAGCTCAAGTGATTGTCCGCCTTGACTGCTCAAAGTACTAGGATAACAGGCATGAGCGCAGCCCAGTCCACTGATAGTTCTATATGGCTAACTCAGCATCACTCCCAATTCTAAAATGGAGCTCTTTATTTTTCCTCCAGCCAGCTCTCATTTAGCATAACCCAACTTCCCTCTTTCAGTATGTATTTCCCACACCCCCTTTCATTCATTTCTCAAACCCAGGTGAGCACAAACAAACCCATTCTTCCCATGAGACCTCTCCCATACTGGTCCCACCCTCTCCATTCCTACGGCCACCACCATAATTCAGACCTTTGTCATCTCATAAAACAGATTCCTAAACAATCTCCCTGCCCTCCTTTTTTTCCCTGGGAATCCTTAGCATACAAGATCAGTCTAATCTTCCGCACACACAGTTCTGGAGGTGTCATAAAAGTCTTTGATTGGCCAGGCATGGTGGCTCATGCCTGTAATCCCAGCACTTTGGGAGGCTGACTCCGGCAGGTCACTTGCGGTCAGGAGTTCGAGACCAGCCTGGTAAACATGACAAATCCCTGTCTCTACTAAAAAAACAAAAATGAGGGGCATGGTGGTACACACCTGTAATCCCAGCTACTCAGGAGGCTGAAGCAGGAGAATTGCATGAACCTGGAGAAGGAGGCTGCAGTGAGCCGAGATCATACCACCGTATTTCAGCCTGGGCAACAGAGTGAGACTCCCATCTCAAAAAAAAAAAAAAGCCTTCCCAAGAAACGAAATACAAACTTCTCAGCTAACATTCATAGGACCAGCATGATCTAGTTTTTTCCCAACCTGCTGTTTCCAGCTGTACCTAAAACCATTTCTCTCCCCCAATTCACTGAGGCCCACTCTCAGCCCAGTCGCATGTTGGACAAAAGACACAGAGATCAAAGACTTAGTATCTGGCTCCGAGGTGCTCTGTTCTGACGACAAGACAGAGGGGTAAATAATTACCAGAGGACACAGTCAGTGATAAGGGACACTGCCTGTCCTAATACCCCCACTCCAAAATAAACGACCTATACCCTGTCCCCTGAATACTGGCCTGTGCTTTTTTCCCCCCTCCAGGTTATTTGGCCCTTTTTCCTCCTTTCCTGTCTACACACTTCCCATTGTTAAATGCCCAGGCCCTAGTGTCCCTCCTTTGAGAATTCTGATTCCCAGGCAAGGGATCTCTCCCTCCTCTGGAGTTGAGAATGTTCCACTGAGAAATACCTACTCTTCCAGCATGTCTCAGCTTATCTGGCTCTGTGTGTGTGTCTTTTTTGAGATGGAGTTTATCGCCCAGGCTTGAGTGCAATGGCACGATCTTGGCTCACAGCAACCTCCACCCCCTGGGTTCAAGTGATTCTCCTACCTCAGCCTCCAGGGTAGTTAGGACTACAGGTGGGCACCACCACGCTGGGCTAATTTTTGCATTTTTAGTAGAGACGGGGTTTCACCATGTTGGCCAGTCTGGTCTCGAACTCCTGGCCCCAAGTGATCTGCCCACCTCAGCCTCCCATAGTGCTGGGATTACAGGCATGAGCCACCGTGACTGGAGGTGTTTTTTTAATTTTAAAACTATAGAGATGGGGTCTTGCTATGTTGCCCAGGCTAGTCTCACACTTCTGACCTTAAGTGATCCTCCCACCTTGGCCTCCCAAAATGCTGGGATTATAGACATGATCCAGCCACATCTCAGATTTGGAAGGTCCTCTCTCACACAGCCCCTATCCCCAGCCCAGTCCTGGGTTAGATCTACTTCCTCTGCCTCCCTATAGCAATTCACACTTCTATTGTTGTTTATTTGTGCTGCTTGCAATTTACTTGTCTCTCCCTAGACTCCAAGCTCCTTGTAGGCAGAGAATGTGTAGATCCTGTTCAGAGTTGAATACTCAGCTCCCAAATTGGGCTGGCATATCTTTTTAAATATATATATTTTATTTTTTTGAGACAGAGTCTCACTCTGTCACCCAGCCTGGAATGCAGTGGCTCAATAATTTTGGCTCACTGCAATCTCCAGCTTCCAAGTTCAAGCAATTCTCCTGCCTCAGCCTCCCGAGTAGCCGGGATTACAGGCGCATGCCACCACGCCCGGCTAATTTTTTGTGTTTTTAGTAGAGACGGGTTTCACCATGTTGGCCAGGATGGTCTCGATCTCCTGACCTCATGATCCACCCGCCTTGGCCTCCCAAAATGCTAGGATTACAGGCGTGAGCCACTCTGCCCAGCCAAAACTTTTTTTCTTTTAAAAATGAAATATAGAGATAGGGTCTTGCTATGTTGCCCAGGTTGGTCTCAAACTCCTGGGCTCAAGCGATCCTCTGGCCTCGGCATCCCAAGATGGTGGGATTATAGGGGTCAGCCACTGCCCCCAGCCAGGCTGGCATATCTTAGAAGTTCAATAAAAAAGTGGAAGAGAGGAAAGAGTACAGCATTCGCCATGAACTCTTGTATTGATACCTTCTTTAGCACTTCTGCCGTTATTGCCACTCCTGTTTTCCCAACCACTGGCCCCAGGCTGCCTTAGTCATTGGTCCCAGCTGGGTTCATACATGCCTCTATCAGGGTGGCAACCTGTGGCACATCGATCAGCTCCACTCGACTGAGAAACTTTTTTCAAGGTAAGGACTGTGTCGGAGACATCTCTGTATGTCCAGAAAATAGCACGGGGGCACGGAATGAAGCTCATAATTTACAGATTTAGGCCAAGAGCAATGGCTCATGCCTGCAATTCCAGCACTCTGGGAGACACAGGCAGGCGATCACTTGAGGTCAGGAGTTCAAGACCAGCCTGGCCAATATGGTGAAACCCCATCTCTACTAGAAACATAAAAATTAGCCAGGCATGGTGGTGCACGCCTGTAGTCCCGGCTATTTAGGAGACTGAGGCGGGAGAATCGCTTGAGCCTGGGAGGAGGAGGTTGCAGTGAGCCAAGATCGTGCCATTGCAATCCAGCCTGGGCTACAGAGCGAGACTCCGTCTCAAAAATAAATTCATAGATTGAAATGACAAACTCCTTGTGAGCAGGGAATTCTACTCGACTTTCTGTCTGCATAAACTCTGCATATCCGCTAGGCCTCGGCCACAGGGTCTTTATTCGTACAGCAGAAACAGTGGGACCGTGTTCAGAGCACTGCTGGGCAGGCTAGAGAAGGTAGGAACTACATGACCACGGAAGTTGTTGGCTCTGTAACCTATTTGCTCATCCGGAACACAGAGTAGTGGTCCTCTAAAGCTCGCAGGGCTGGAGGTCGCCATTATCAGCAGTGGCGTGGCTATAAAGCTTTGTAAACCTGAACGCAAGGGTCTCTGCAACTTGGGGGACGACGGCCCGGATCTGACTACACGGCCCCTTCCTCCCACCCCGCCCAAGGACTCTCAGCCTTCCCTGGACCTGCCTTTCCGGAGCTCAGAGCCCTCTCTGGCCTCCAGGGGCGGGAGGGATGGGTTTGGCCGAGGTCTGGGGCTCGGGTCTGGGACGCATTCCAACTCCCGGCTCCGAGCCTCTGCCTGGGGCCCCACCTGGAAAAATGGCTCCTCTAAGTCGCTTCCAGCCTAAAGCCCGTCCTCTTCCACCTCTCAGGTGCGAACTGTCCCTCCCACTGCGACCGCCGGTCCCCCACCGGCCACACAGACGGCCACGCTAAGCCCCGGCAAGAAACACCTCGGTTACCAACCGCGTCCCGGAGCCTTCCACTCCGACTCCCGGAAGTGGCCGTGATCTCACGAGATCAGGGAGGTGACCGCAACCGGAAGTCCTGTCACTCTCGCGAGGTCCCACGGAACGGACCCAGGAGAGCTGCGCAGAGTGGAGGTCGTTGGAGTCACCTGCCGGTGGCCAGCTCCTGTGTCTGCCGGTCCGCGCCCCGCCCGCTCCAGCCATGCTGTCCTCCCTCACCCGGCCTGCCAGCGCCGCTCTCCGCCGCAGCTTCAGCACCTCGGCCCAGGTAAGCCCGACGAGGGGCGGGCTGCATGCGGAGGCCCCCCAGCCCGGGCCACGTGCGTCCCTGGTTCGCCGGCAGCTCTGACCCTCTCCAGGCCAGCCTGGACCGCAGGCTGGAGGCTGTGGCACCCCAGACAGGCCTTGACACTGGCAGGGAGGTGCCGGGGAGAAAGCTCGGGAGAAGGGGACGAGGTAGTCCCGCTCCAGGGCTGGTGCATTTGGCAGGGGTCCCCCAGAGGGCCTGCTTTTGGCCTGTACGCCTCCAAGGTTGGGAAACCAAGGCTCTGGATCTGAAAGTAAACTTACGTTTTTTCTGCAGCTTTCCATTGCCTTGACGTAGCTCCTCCTTGCTGCATCCGTGTGAGTGTGCGTGAATAAAAGAAATCGTGTAATTTTCAACTGCATAGTATGGACAAACCTAGGCACCGAGGCTGGAGAACTGGGCCAAGGTTACACAGCCATTTGGCCAGAGGATTAAAATTCAGCTCTTCTGACCTGAAGACGGCTTCCTCTTAACCTTTTGGAAGGATCTCTTCCGCTGTAGGCGGGACTGAGCTGGCCTCCAGGTGTCTTAACACCGTCCTGGACTTGGTCCACGACCACTTAAGCCAAAGCTATTTTTAGCCGTCTTCTAGGACGGTGGTTCTTAAACTCTGCTGTGTGTCAGAATCACCTGAAAGCTAATAAAGAACGGAGGCCTGGGCTCATTGAAGAAGCGTTTAAGAGCAGGGTTTCTGCATTTTTACCAAGTGAATCGAATTAAACCTAAGCTTGAGTACCCAGGAGGTGCCTGCGTTACCCTTTAATTACAACGCCCAAGAGGGGGATGATTTTAAAGGGGAATCCAAATTTATCATTGAAGTTCTCACTTCCAGTTTACTGTACATCCAGTTCACTTGAAAAATAAATACAAAGCTCCTGGGTTGATGGCTACTTCGCATACCCTTTGCAAGTTGATAATATCATAAGTCAAAAGGCGAGTTTTTAACTTTGTATATTTTCGACTTGCAGTGGGTTCCCACAGGCGACCCCATCATAAGTTGCCAACAACTCTGCTGGGGATTCCAAGATTAAGTGACAAGTGGCACTTGAGATGGGACAGAAACGAGTAAACTTAGCACAGGCGGAGGGGATGAAGGTCTGTGGTGAGGTGTGGGGGAGGGCAGCGGACAGGAAGAATGATGTCCAGAGAGTGGTTGAGGTGTTTTTTTGTTTGTTTTTGTGAGACAGAGCTTCGCTCTTGTTGCCCAGGCTGGAGTGCAATGGTGCGATCTCGGCTCACCCCAACTTCTGCCTCCTCAGTTCAAGGGATTGTCCTGCCTCAGCCTTCTGAGTAGCTGGGATTACAGGCATGAGACACCATGCCCAGCTAATTTTGTGTTTTTTAGTAAAGATGGGGTTTATCCATGTTGGTCAGGCTGGTATTGAACTCCCAACCTCAGGTGATCCACTCGCCTCGGTCTCCCAAAGGGCTGGGATTATAGGCATGATGAGCCACCGTGCCCGGCCTGTGGCTGAGTTTTGGTAGGACTTTCAGATGTTCGACATATCTATTGAGCTAGGTACTGGAAATACAGTGGTGAACAAAACACAGAAGTCCCTGCTCTCATGGAAATTACTAGATATTTTACTGCACTCCCTTCTTATAAGGTATCTTAAAATAGTGATGAACACACAAGAAAAATGGGGATTTTGGGGTACTTGTGTTAAGGAAGAGGAGACCAATTTTATTTTTTTTGAGACAGAGCCTCATTCTGTCGCCCATGCTGGAGTGCAGTGGTATGATCTTGGCTCACTGCAACCAACTCCTGGGCTCAAGCGATCCTCCTGCCTCAGCCTCCTGAGTAGCTGGGATCCACAGGTGTGGGCTATGACACCTGGCTAATTTTTGTATTTTTAGTAGAGATGGGGTTTTGCCATATTGGCCAGGCTGGTCTGAAACTTCTGACCTCAAGTGATCCACCCACCCCGGCCTCCCAAAGTGCTGAGATTATAGGTTTAAGCCACCACTCCCAGCCCAGAAGATTTTTTTTTTTTCTTTAAGGAAATGGAATCTTGTGCCTCAGCTGGAGTGCAGTGGCTCCATCATGGCTCACAGCAGCCTCAACTCTGGGCTCAAGTGATCCCCCATCTCAGCCCCCTGAGTAGCTGGGACTACAGGTGCACAGCACCAGGCCAGCTAGATATTTGAGCATGGGAGTGAAGGATTCAAACTTTGATTTTGGGGAAGGGTGCTCTGGAGGTATCGCTGAGTGCCTGAGTTAGATAATGGAATAGAACGAAGAGGAGGAACGGGTCAGAAGGGTGGTTGAGCGGCCAAGTTCTTCATGTCCTGACTTGATGTCTCTGATAAGGAGGCGGCGGCAGAGGATGGTTCTAAAAGTTTACGTTTTGCGAACACAAGTGCCATTTGGGATGAGGGATAGAGGGAGGGGGGCAGGATAAATGGACAATTGGGTTTGTGGAACCCATGGAATGTCTAACAACTGGGAATGCAGTTTGGGAGTCCTAAAGATTGAAGATATGGGAGTGAGAGTTGAAGATCCAGAAGTGGGTGAGGCTGCCCGACCTCAGGTTCTGAGCGGGTCTGACAGGTTCAAGTTTCCAGGCAGTCAGGGGTTCACCTTTTTTGAAACAGAGTCTTACTCTGTCACCAGGCTGGAGTGCAGTGACACAATCTCGGCTCACTGCAACCTCTGCCTCCCGGGTTCAAGCAATTCTCCTGCCTCAGCCTCCCGAGTAGCTGGGACTACAGGCATGCACCACCATGCCCAGCTAATTTTTGTATTTTTAGTAGACACAGTTTCACTGTGTTGGCCAGGATGGTCTCAACCTCTTGATCCCACTATCCACCTGCCTCAGCCTCCCAAAGTGCTGGAATTACAGTTTGTCTCTTCCCTCACTGGCAGCTACCTGCCTGCCTGCCCAGAACAGGCTCCACTTATCATTTGTGAGTTTAGATTGGAAACAAGCTCCCCTGGGAGTAGCTGGAATTTTGGTCAGACCTTGAGTGAGACCCAGAGGGGAGCCTTTGAATATTTGAATAACAGGAGTGTTTGCTGGATGCGGGGTTTGGATCACTTTCACCCCATCACTTTCCTAGCTGTTGTTCCAAGCTGAAATGCCCAGGGCCAGCTGCTACTTTTGTTGAAAAATGCACACTTTGGATGAAGAGACCTTCCAAACAGGTTTTGTGTGAGCAACATCGCTGTTTATTCACTTGGGTGCAGGTGGGCTAAGGCCAGCATTAGCAAAGGGCAGTGGGATAGCAGTTGGCTTTATAGGTTTGGGTAGTTTTTGGGGGGACGGGGGTATTGCAGAGTAAGTTCAGTTACAGTGGTGGGGGGTAGGGGCAAGGGAGTATACACGACCACAAGTTCAGTTACAACGGCAGGGTTGGGTGAGGGGCTTGTACAGGGAAGCTCCGAAGCCAGGCCATTAGGGACAATGGTGAACGCAGGTGGTGGGTGGGAGACATCAGCCAAGGCAAGCAGGACTTAGACATTCAGGCTCCAGGCTTGCATATGGAGACCTGACAACTTTGCTACTTGTTCTTCTGATGATCCCGGTATGAAGCAGTGATTCTCAAACTGTTTGGCATCAAAATTACCTGGGGAAGATGTCAAAAATGCCAAGGCCTAAGCCCTATCCCGCTCCCAGGAGCCTAGTCCTGGGTAGGCTTCGTTAGCTCAGCAGGTGATTCTGATACAGACCTAAGCTGGAGAACCGGTGTGAGATACTGGAGCCCGAGATGGCAGATCCGACTCACCTAGGAGGGGTGGAGCCTTTTGCAATGTGCATTACCCCATCCACCTGTTGTTAGGCAGCGCCACATCCTGCCTTAGGCTCCAGCCAGAAGTTGCTTCCCTGATTCCCCATCCCTGCAGGGAGTTGATTGCCCTGACCCCATCTTCCCTTTGCACCAGGGGCTCCTGTGACTGTCTTCTCTCCGCTCCTAAAGCATCTCATTACCAGTCTCCTACAGAGCCAGCAGGGGTCTTCCTGCAACCTCAGTTACTGGGAGGGGCTGTTGCTAGGCACTCAGTGTGCTTTTAGTTTTTAAAGCTGCAGGTTGAAGGTAAGGCTGCTATTACCAGTCCAGCTGCCTGATGGAGTCAAGCTTGTTCTTCATGTTTCAGGAGGATTTTGAAGTACCCTGAGGATCACAGCCTCTGTAGACATAAATTCTCCCCATTTGAAAGTAGACCTTTGGAATGAAGGTCCATAATTCTACCAGAATGACACCGATACAAATACGATTATATCTTGCTTCGGCAACTGCAGTGAAAAGAGGCCCAGTGCGATATTTTTGCAGGATAGCATGTGAATCCTTTTCATGCTCATTTCATCCTAAGAGTCCTTTCTCTGTGCCTCTTTTTAGAACAATGCTAAAGTAGCCGTGCTAGGGGCCTCTGGAGGCATTGGGCAGCCCCTTTCGCTACTCCTGAAGAATAGCCCGTTGGTGAGCCGCCTGACCCTGTATGATATCGCACATACACCCGGAGTAGCCGCAGATCTGAGCCACATCGAAACCAAAGCAACTGTGAAAGGTACTGGGTGCGCTGACCCTGGAGACCTGCATCCTCTCCCCAGTAGGTCAGGATCTGAGTTTTGAGTAAGATTCTTAGATGAGGCTAGACACTTAGAGACTTGGGGTTTCCCTGTTTGTTTTACTTTTAAATTTTGCAAGTGATTACACCCTTTTAGACTTGGGTCTATTAAAATTGAAACGGCAGTGTCTTAGAAATACAGGGAGCCAGCCAGGCACGGTGGCTCACGCCTGTAATCCCAGCACTTTGGGAGGCCGAGGCGGGTGGATCACCAGGTCAAGAGATCGAGACCATCCTGGTCAACATGATGAAACCCCGTCTTTACTAAAAATACAAAAAATTGGCTGGGCATGGTGGCGCGTGCCTGTAATCCCAGCTACTCAGGAGGCTGAGGCAGGAGAATTGCCTGAACCCAGGAGGCGGAGGTTGCGGTGAGCCGAGATCGCGCCATTGCACTCCAGCCTGGGTAACATGAGTGAAACTCCGTCTCAAAAAAAAAAAGAAAAGAAATACAGGGAGCCTAATCATCCCATTTTCTACTTTTTCTTTATTTTTATTTTATTTTGAAACAGAGTCTCGCTCTGTCACCCAGGCTGGAGTGCAGTGGCGTGATCTCGGCTCACTGCAACCACCACCTTCCGGGTTCAAGCAATTCTCCTGCCTCAGCCTTCTGAGTAGCTGGGATCACAGGTGTAAACCACCACGGCTGGCCAATTTTTGTATTTGCAGTAGAGATGGGGTTTCACCATGTTGGTCAGGCTGGTCTCAATCTCCTGACCTCATAATGTACCCACCTCAGTCTCCCAAAGTGCTGGGATTACAGGCATGAGCCACCACGGCTGGCCCCATTTTCTACCTTTTCTAATTTGGACTGTAGTATGAGGATGGGGAAGAGGGAAGCGGCGGGAACTCTGGTGAGGGTTTGGGGGCAGTAAGGTGGTGTTCCCAGCTGCAGGCCACCTTCCCTCCATTCCAGGGTTGTCTTGATAGCTCTTCAAAAAGCACAGCCTCTTAGAGAAATCTGCCCGTCCGCTGAAGGCAGTGTCGGATAGCCAGTAAATGTTGTCAAAGAAATCGTTCATTGGACTCGGTGCAGAGGCTCACGCCTGTA